TCCACCACATTAGCTATATCACGATTTAATCCATGCAGAAACCGGGCCATTGTTGCTTCTCTATCCTCTTCAACATTTGCTCTGACCATTGCGATTTCCATCTCCTTGTGATAATCCTCAACGCTTCTGGACCCTTGAGTAAGGCCCTGTAGTCGTTGATAGAGATCGCGGTAGTAGTGACTAGGAATAAACCATTTTCTCATCACAGCCTTCATCTCTTCCCAAGTGTCAACAAGATGCTCTCGATTTCTACGTCAACTAAGCACAAGCTGATCCCACCACACCACAACGTAATTAGTAAATTCCACCGCTGCTAGTTTCACCTTTTTCTCCTTAGAGTAGTTATGGCAATCAAACACCAATTCCACCTTCTTTTCCCACTCCAAGTACACATCTGGATCATTTTTGCCTTGAAATGGAGGAATCTTCATCTTGATGCTACCTAAGTCATGATCTTGTCGATCTCCCCACATTGCCAGATTTTGGTCTCCTTTGTTAAATCTATATCTTTGACCCCCTCTACCTCTCATAAATCTGTCCATGCTGAAATTTGAGTCCTGGGCATCATTGTTGAATGCATCTTCATCATTGTCATCAAGATTGTGATTATGCAAATTTGGACTTCCCTTTTGTATTTGGTATAACTTGGCAATGGCTGCATCTTGCTTCTCCATTTTGTCTTTAATTTCACCAAACATGATGTCTAGCCTCTGAAATTGTTGTTGCATAGCTTTAAGCATGAAGGAATCGTCCACTTGGTGTTTTCTATCATCACCGCTTGACATGATTGAAACCTGCAAGGAATGTTAGAAACAGAAAAATAAAAGGACCTCACAACACTCCCTTACGTGTTTCACTCCATTCTCTCACAGAATGGCACTCAACGTTCGTGTTTTGTACATTGTAGAACTTGGCTTTTCTCTCAAGTGTTACTCACACCTCATGCCTTTTTCCCTCACTCAACTTCCCTCTTTCAGTTCGTTATTGAACTAAACAAGCTCAAATCAAGTTATTTTGCGACAATCTAACTCCAACAAATCTACAAGAGTTAAAGGAAACAGAAAGACACAAAGGAACGACCAAGAAAAGCAATAAAAGAACCAATCCAAACAAATTAAAACAAACAGATCAGTTGACTATTCCTTAATGCAGTAGGATTCCTAACTTAGGAAGGAATAAACAAAATTGCCATCTCCTTGTTTAAATAGAGCTCAAAGAGAATTTCCAACTCCTTATTGGAGTAGGATTCCTTTTTCTTTAAGGATTTGGCCATAGATTTCTTCTCTATATAAGGAATTCCAACCACATAATTGTGTTGCTTGTTTCTCTCTCCTTTTTTTTTTTCTTTTTTTTTTGTGCGATTCTTCCTTTTGATTTTTTTTTTCGTGCTTTTCTCTCTCGGATTTTTTTTTTCTCTTCAGAACCAGCAACACAGATTCAACAGAACAAGATGAAAAGAGTTGCAGACAAGAAAGAAAAGAACCCTAATTTTTTTTTTTATGTAAAAACTGAAAACTAAAGATACGCAAACCTGATTTAGAGATCTGATGCTCTGATACCAAGATGATGAAAACCCCAAAGAGAACAATGAGACCCACAACACGACAAGGGATTTCTAAACTCCAGAAAGCTAAATCAGGTTTATAATAGGACCTTGACCCGTTGTTTATGTCGCAACAAGAACCAAAGGTAAAAAAACCTTGACCCGTTGTCTATGACGCAACAAGAACCAGAGGTATAAAGTTGGTTGACGCCACACCCTCGAACGATTAAGAATGAGAATGATAAGTCAGGTTAGAACGCCACAAGAATAATCTTGATAAGTTCTGCAAAGTTCTGAAACGAACCAAAGAGAAAAGTCTCTCAAAATCTCAGATTCAATAGTCTCTTCAATTAGGGTTACAAGCCTCTTTAAATAGGGAAAAGTAATTCTAATCAGAATAGGAAACTAACACCTTAAGCCCTAATCATAATAACCACAAATTGGGCCTTAAATAAATGAATGTTCAGCCCAAAATAATATAACAAACGTGAAAATCACTAAAAGTAACCTAAACTAACATGAAATATCAGTTTGTTACAAATTGCGACAGAATTGCGAGATTGACGCAAACTGTGTAATTTAGCA